CTAGACAAGACTGCACTCGCACGATTGCATGAATCAACCAAACAGCGCAGGGTAGTGTGCGCATCACGTGCGCCAACCATAGATAAGCAGCAACCGATCACAAATATAATATGTGGCGCCAACGTTGAGCCAACCATCATCAGACATCCTCTTCAAATTAGGTACATTTTATTCGGACACCCTGTACTTTTATTCTAATAATTACTGAAATTATTTTTAACAATATAGCTAATAGGAAAAAAAACTCTTTATATAGTAAACGAAATCGAAGGAATCACTTTTAGTGAGTATAATAAATAATTAACACTTGAAAGCTCCGTGATTTGCCAACAGTAGTAATATTTCGTATTTTATAACTAAAATATTGATCGTGAATAAAATAAAGTTGAAATCTGGATACGGCTTTACTTTGGATTGAAACCCTGTTCTCTGTATATCTTTTAATGTTATGAATCTCGTATTTTGTGAATCTCTATTCTTTATTAAGTGATAAGGACTTAATAGAAACGCTTTTCGTTTACAATGAAAATTATTACTATTGATGATAATTCACATAATAACCTTTTATCTGGTAGCGATAGAATGCCAGGCCGCTGGAGAATTCGTATAACTTTTATCTACCATTTTTATGGTGAAACAGAATCAGCAGAGTCGAGTCTTGGTAACCCGTTCTCCAAGATACTGTATCATTTCCTCTGAGAACTCTAATTCTCAGTATAATTTAGAAAAACAAGCTCATGAAAAAATTAGTGAAACTGAAATAATGGTTTTCAACTTTTATTGGCTTCTGGGTTGAAATGAACTATTGTATACTCTATTAAGCCATTCTATTTCTTTAAGAATTGTTGCAAATTATACTAATATTGAAATCGAAGATAATTTATGGCTTCCGAGAAATGCCCGCGAGACATAAAAAAGACATATAACATATAGAAATATTGAGAAAATTGGATTTCGGCAAACAAACTCTAATGGCTGCAGAGCTCATAAGACAGGAGATTGAAATTTCATCTTAATTTAGATACTTTGTAAGGTTAAACTGATCTGATACTGAAACTTAGTCCTATAACCTTACTTGATTAGTAGCGAGTTATTGCTATGTCTAAAATAGCATGACAAAGACTTACAAAGATTTAAGAAACTTTTAAGAAAACAGGCTAGTGCTACAGATAACTACGACTGGTGGCGATGTAAATTATTAAACAATAACAGTCAAATAAATTTAAACGTTGTTTCAAGTGTGTATCTCTTTACAGTTGAATACTAGCTACAAGTTAGTTCAAATAATTTACCGGCACGTAAGTTTAAAGTATCAGCTGCAAGAGCATGCTAAGCCGAGATAATTACATTTAGCTAAAGCTGGCAAAATTCTAATAATGCTATGCTAATGCCAGGTCTACTACGCTATAAGTACCAGGTATGCTACTCTACTACGCTATTTTAATAATGTTTCGCTACTGCCAGGTCTGCTACGCTATAAGTACTAGGTCTACTACGCTATTTTAGTAATGCTACGCTAGTGCAGGTCCGGCTAGTTCCAGGCTGAATTCTAGTAATGCTACGTAGGTCTTTAAGGTTCACGAACCTTGAGCTTAATTCCTCACAAGTTAATCTGCATTCTGGTTAGGAATAAGGAAAAGAAAAATTTAAAGTCAAAATCAAACTCATTATAACATAGCGATTTTAATATATGAACATTACAATTTGTCATCTCGAAATGTTTTGTACATTATACCTTATTTTTATTATTTATACTTATTTTTAGATGATAAATCATGTACGTATTTATTCAAAGGCATAAAGTAAATGATTTATCAGCTAAAAATAGTCTATGAGGCCTTTTCTCCTTAACAATAGTCTCGTGTGCGAGTAAGGAGCGATGACTCAAGTATCTTATTTTAATTAATAATAAAAATAATAACAATTTTAATAAACACCTATTATGACGTCAAGAATGAGGCTATTCTCGTATAATCGTTAATGTGAAAATATTAAGCTCAAAAATGAATAAACTACAGAAGACAACATAAAAAAAGTAATTTTTGCAAAGTTTTTGAATAATTAAAGTTTATTTCATAATTACAAAAATATACTGAAGTTGCTCTTTCCTTTTTGAGCGTATGGCAACTAAAGGAAAACTCGCAAACGACACACTTGGTAAAGATTAAAGTGCACATCATATCACTGATTTCATTAAAAAAATTGTTTGAGTTTTCTCGATCCGTATTTGGGATTAAAATAAATAAAATCAACATATAAGCACAATTATTTTTCTTTCACTCAAGACAAAAACATAAAAATAAGTTTATTTTTTATTTAACTATAATTAACTAAATTAGAAATAAACTTTGCAAAGCATCGTTAACGATGTGCTACATTTTCTAACAGATATTTTTTAAAACCGTGTTCCATAATCCTAATGCTGCTTAAAAATCTTTTTTTTTTTCCTGTATCATTATTTATGAGTTGTTTATTCCAGAGACTTACAGAATCATTACTGATGATTTATTTGGTCTGTAGTGACGGCGAATTTTTCAAAAAAATTTACATTTTCTAACATGCAGCAATCTACTAACAAATAAAAAAATAAAATTCTGAAAATTCTCGATACGATGAGGAAAGAATATTTTTTCCAGTAGGAGGTAAAGATTTCCTCGACTCTGATAAAACAGTTTTCTGATGAAGTAAAGTAACTGCTGCTACATATTCAGAAGAGGGAAAAAGTAATTTTATTTATCATACCTTTGTTAAAATGAGAGAACATCATAGAATAATTAAAAATTTGTATATGACTATAGTAATTCTTTTCATGCAATACATGACTTATATATGTAAAGCTCAAAAAGATTAAAAAGTATTATTTTTCGACATTTATATTCGTAATCAGTAGCCTAACGAAATCATCATCTATCACATTAGACATGCCATCTGTTCATTTAAATTGTAGTTTATAATATTATTTGTAAGTATTTATAATATGCCTAGATTAAGGAGTATAAAAAATTATATGAATGCATTGAAACGAGAATGGGTAAAAATTGGTCACTTGTCTTATTTGTAACGGTAATAAGATGGTAGTGCATTATACTCGTATAATTTCCGGTTATAAGAAAAACTATACTTATTATTAAGGGTACATTAAAGTAATCCTCTTTGCACAGTTAGGCTTTTTTTACAAAAGAAAAATAATGATGCTTTAAAACAACAAAACAATTATGTATTACATATATATATATATATGTAATACATAATATATATATATATATATATATATATTTCGCGTTTTAATTAGCTACTTATCTAGAGAATGAATTAATAAACGTACTGACAAAATCCTAGAATAAGGTACCTCCATGGCGCGATTTTGAAAATGGTCACGACACCAAAATGACGCGTTTATTGACGCAGACCAACATTACTTACGAGCGGATTTATGTCATCTCTCTTTGGTTGTAATTTCGTGGGGATGGCATTAAGTGCAGATTTAATGTAATTTAAAGTAAATGTTTTCTTTAGAGATTTTGTTACAAAGTATTGTATTTTTTAAATTCCAGGAAAATCTAGCAACAGCATATTTTCCAAGTAATTTTAAGACAAACACACACAACACATTCACGTATATAAAGAATAAATTTTAAACAAATTTGAAAGCTTTCACATTTTATATCACGCAAAAAAGCGGCGTTTTATCATTTTCATACACATACACGTATCGAGAGCATTTGGGCTAGTGCTCCTTTGGGCTAAAAATATTTAATTTGGCCTGTCTTGAATTTCCGATATGGAGACTCGCGGGCTGGAGATAAAAATGTTTTTTTCCCGTACACTGTTCCCATTGTCTGCTTTGAAATCATTGACTTTGTTAATCAAAAGATCGTTAAAGTTTTAAAAAATATGAAATATACAATTAAACAAATACAAAATTCGGGCTTCTAGGTGTCCTTGTTCGGGTGGAGGACTACATTATTCAAAGTTTGATGGCTCTATGTACCGCTGTTTTTTCACAATGTGAAAAACGTGCATACATTGATAAAAATTCTTCATTAATTAATTAATTTAAATATAATACAGGGTGATAATATTTGGTGGCAACAATTTCAAAAGTGATTCAGACTTTTATAGCTATTTAACGCAAAATCACGTTTTAAGACTAATGACCCTTTTTGGGCTAACGCTTCTTTGGGCTAAAAACACTATTTGTTTATAAAATAAGCTGAGAATTGGAATATAAAAAGAAAGCGCATATGAAAATGGTGCCGTTGCTTGTTATAACTGAAGAACTGGTATGAGGGCGGTAGCAAGAATTAGGCGAATCCTTAAAATTTTGCGATTTCGATTGAGATCATTGCGCTAATATTTATATAAGTATCAGATACACTATCTGGTATAAACATGACTTTCAAGCAAATACGTTTCTAGCGTCAATAATCGGTATTTTGTTTGCAAACAGCCGAGGCATCCATGGACCCAAGTCGCGTTTCAAATTAATACTTTGCTGCCATTTCAAAATATTAAAATATTACTGAGATGCAGATTTTATAAATGGCAATAGTTGGTATTAATAATCAAAGCATTGTTATAATTAGAAATATAACAGCATTGAAATTCATACATTGCTCACGTCATTAACACGCTTTTGTTGATAAATCTGCCAAAGTCATGACGCATTAAGCGTACTGAGAGTATCGTATCCTGTTGCAGATGTTTGTAAAGGAAAAGTACCTTCCGTTATGTTTTTTCAAGAGGAGTAACTGAAAAGCTTCATATTCATTCCTTATTTTCTGTGCTAATGAACTATTATAAATTTTTTACTCAAAACTAATCTTTCATATACTACAGTAATAGTTAATCTTAACATTTTTTATATTTTTATCTTACATTTTTACGTTTAATATAATATAATAAATTAATTATTATTTTTAAATTTTTTGTGACTGGCAACAATGAACACTTGCTTTTGTAAAACATTTGCTAGAATTATTAGCATAATAAGAACAACGCAAAATATGAAGGAAAACAAAATAGATTTCGGACCCTTAAATTTCAGGAAATTGTATAAATCAATTATTCAGTAAGAGAAGTAAGAAGAAATTCATTGAATAAAAATGATATCATTCAAGAAATTAAAATGGTTATTACTTCAATACATTTTTCATATTATTGTCATTATATGAAAATTTTCTATGAATTATTTTCTGATTTAAAGACTTATTTCGAAGAAGAAACCAAAGATTTTAAAGCACTTAATAAAGCCAAACGCTTAAGTATTATTATCACGTCAGAAATAAATTTCATTTACTTTAATTAAGGCGCGGAATATTTCGAGGAAAAGTTATATTCAAGCAAACAGTAGCTAGATGATTGACTGAAATGAAAGAATGCTTATTAAGTTTCCTATGGTTATGTATTTTACTATTCGCAATTGTTTACTTAAATATTTATGATGTATTTTTTACTTTAAAGTGTCAATTAATATGTTTTGAAGAAATTTCAACCAATTGAAAATCTGTTACACTTGCAGACTTTGAGAGACTTTAGTTATTTGTAAAGTGCATATTAACAAAATATGATTATTTATTTCTGTACTTTTGCTAAACCAAGCAAATATATTTGAATTTTTTATATTCACATTCGGTTGTGATTTTCTGTTTTAAGTGTACTTCAGCTATAGTTTATTATAAGCTGCAAATAATCAGTCTAAATAACGATATTTCATGTAATTATTTTTACCAGTTGTTTTCCCCAAATTGTATCAGATTCATAAATTAATTTCATTTATGGTTTAATCTTTATTCGTTGAGTAGTTACTTCTTTATATATGTGTAAGAATAACGTGTAAGATAAAATGCTAACTTTAATTTGCGATAGTCCTAAATTAAAAGTTGTAAAATCATATTTGTGTCTGTATGTGATATGATAATTATTATCTCCGGTTAATTTGGTTATTTCTTCTTTCTACTATAAAAATAGTAAAAGAAATTATTTCATAGTGCACCGTTTCAAAACTAATCCTTGTCATATGATTCATTCCTTGTCATTCTTAGAAAATGCAAATGACGAATATACTTAACATGAAGGCAAAATGAAACTGAAATCTTTTATCCAATTATAATCATATCAACGTTTTTCTGAACTGATAGTAATAAAGCTACACGTTATGTATCTGTTGAGAAAAATAGCAATTTCATTAAGCTTAATCAAACATAAGTAACGTAATTTTGCTCTTCTCAGACTTTCCTAGTTCTGCTGTCATATAATCTGCACTTTATCTGCTATGTATTTTTTAAAAAATGCGTTTATAGTTGTTGAAACTGCCGTGTATTCAGTCCATTTTAGATAGATATGTGTTTACTTGGTGGCATTTAATTTAAATTTATTTTTTTCTTTCTTTTTCTTTCTTTTGTTTATTGAAATTGACAGAATAGCTGGTCTACTGCGAAGATGCTTATCAGCCTGTTGGATCCCGTTGATAGAATAAACAAACTAGAACTTAGCGCTGTGTCTTCAGGGACTTCACAATATAATGCCATCTATAATTAAATTAAAAAAAAAAATCTGAAATGTTTCAGATTTTAAATTACGTCCAAAGGGGCGTTTTTTAACATTTTGTGTGTTACCTTTCTTATTAAATATCATGTTCCTCGCACTTAAACCATAAGATCCAGTGCAACAGCAATATCGCAAAATAGTTTTAAAACGAGCATATCTTTAGAATTTCCGATACAGAGACTCACGCGCTGGAGATAAAAATGTTTTTTCTGCACAACGTTGCCATTGCTCGCTTTGAAATCCTTGAGTTTGTTAATCAAAAATTCGTCAAAGTTTTAAAAAATAGGAAATCGATCATAAAACAAATTTCAAATTTCAAATTTGGTCTTCCACATGCTCATATTCGTTGGAGGATTACGTTATTCAAAATTCGATGACTCTATGTACCGTTGTTTTATCACAATACGAGAAATATACATACATTTATGCAGATTTTTCATTATTTAATTTCTTCAAATATAATGCAGGACTCTAACATTTTATGGCAACAGTTTGAAAAGTGAACCGACATTTATGAGTCCGACGCAAAATGCCAAAACGAAACTAATAGTCCTTCGGGATTCAAATCCCTTTGGACGAAAAAATTGTTACAGATGCGACATTGCCTTAAGCTTTGCAAATTTGCAATAAATTACGTAGTTCTGCTAATGCAATATATAGAGTGTTAATGCTGTCCGTAGCATCTACAAGTACGTCACTGTTACACCATATGCAGGGCATTACAAATACCATAAAGGTAGGTATATTTACATGTAAACTTGAAATCAATATAAATATCTTTTTATTCAAATTATTAAGTAAGATTTATTTACATTACACAATAATGTACATGTATGCATATTGCGGTTACAATATGCAAACACTAATGCAGGTTATGTGTACAAAACTGAAATTCAGATACCCAGCTTATGCATTGTTAAAGCTAATGCTATAAAATGTACTATTATACATGAAAGAAGATAAAGAATCGAATCATGGTACGTATGGGGATATTACCCTTTTAACTGTCTCCAAGATGGGTGATTTGGCACCATTTATGCATAAACATGACTTCACAACACACTCTGTAATTTGTACGTTTGTTTGGTATAACCCCTATCTTATTTTCGATAAGCCATCTTTTGTTTTATGAACAACGACATGAAGCATAACTGCTATTGCTGTGATGACTATTGCTGTATTTTTTCTTGAACTTTGAAAAACAAAAATGAGTTTGAGTACTATAAAATCAGATTTGCTACTGCATTCCGGTTCATTTACAGATGATAGAGAGAATTAAAATCTGTTGAATGGTGAAACGAACATCTGAATAAGGCTGACAATACAATAATAAATTGGAACAGTCTCCTGCTTGTAATCACTGGGTTATAAATAGAGATTCTAGTAAAACGGAAGGGCCTAACAAGATATAGCAGAAATCGATGAAAGACTTTAACTAAGATCATAAACGAAGCGGCTGGAATACTTCCGCAGTAGTGGCTGTTTGGTTAACTGGTGTAGTGAGACTGACGAATGTTTTATTGTAAGAGTTGTAGCTAGAAATACGGCTCAGAATTCCGCACGAATTGGTGCAACGATCATGAAAATGGGTGGATCTCCACCCATTTTCATGATCGACGTTACTACAGGGAATAATTATATACAAAACTTGATACAATTGAAGGTATTACTTGGTACTTAACTAATTGCAAGATATGCTACTATGTGGAAAATCTTCTAATACTGTGCTATTTGAAAGCCTAATGTTAATTAACTAAAACTATGCTGTGATATAGTAACGTTCTGGAGACAGTGTGGGTGATGGTATGAAAAATCACTCTTGTCCACTTGTGACAGTGAGAACTTAGGAAGTACAAGTATTAACGCAATGCATTGCGCGCCTTTTTTTTTTTTTTTTTTTAGTTTAGCTGCCTATGCATAATAACTCTCAGCTGTCGGCTTTCGAAGATGGTAGTTTGAGGTAACTGGGCAATCAAATGTTACATAGCTGGCTTCATCTTTAATATTGCAACATAAAGAAAGTTCATTTTTAGCAAATCAAAAGCGATTAAGATGGCTCATGTATTGGCTTGTGTCTAGTGAGAGCTTTTGGTGAAAAACTGTGTCTAGTAAGAGCTATAGAGAAAAGCTGAGCTTTGGAATACCACTTTTGAGAGCTGCTCTGTTTTGGTATGATTTGTATGTAATCTTCATTGTTCCGCTGAGATTGCCGTTCTTTATTAAGAAACTGATGTGATTTGGATGATTAGCAACCATGTGAACAAAAGCTGAAGAAGAAAGGTTGAATTGCTCAATTTGTATTCTCTTTTAACGAGTTGTTCTTCGTGAAAAGTACGTGAATGAAGACTGACTTGAGCTACAGCTTCAGATGACGTAGAAAAAGTAAACGCTGTGCTGTGACGACGACACCAGTTGACTTTGGATGAGTAGCTAGCAGTTTTATACTGAGAATGCTTACATTAATATTTGTTGCTATTAATTTGGCATCCTAGTCTTCTGTTTCATCTCCGATGATTCCAGTATGGGCTGAAGGCCCATACTGAAATCTCACGGTCTCACGTTGTTGGGCAATGTTTTTGAATATGTCTCATAATGTAATTTCTACTTCGATTTCAATGAATTAATTTCAGGTTAGATGAAGAGACCATATATATATTAATGTAAGAATCATCAGAGTTGTGTAAATTCACCGCCGCTTGCGGGGCAGCTAGTTCCGCTTGAACTATTAGGGTTGAGTTTATGCTTATTGTGTTTGTGCCATTCAGAACGCGATATCCACTTCCCTTTCTCACTTCACTTTTACAACCATAGGTATAGATGGCTATTAATACCAATATAGTAGTGGCTGCCTATTTGGTTTTTATATCAAACTCTGACGGGTAACAGAAACACATAAAATATTTTCTTCATAATCTGTGTGGATAAATTTATTATTCCAGGGCATTATATTCACTTTCAGTCTGAGGGTATACACAATGGTGATTTTTCTGTAGGACTGTCTGCGGAAGGGAAGAGATGCCTTCGTGAAGAACTTTCAAAAGGAAACTGGCTCACAAGTACGTTCTTTCGAAAAAGGAATATTGTTTCAAAGTAAGATGTTAGTTTTTTATGATTCTGCATAAAAATAATAATTTACTTTTCCTATTTAATTAACACAAGAACCATCAAAACATAGCCATAAATAATTGACTAAATTCTTTGGATATGACTTATAATATCTGTTTTATTTTCTGTTCTCTAAGGATGCAATTCCTAAGTTCTCAATTCCTAAGCTTTCGCTGGTCTTCGGAAAATGTCCGAATTTCAAAAACTCGAAATTTAGAGCTATTTATTATTATCTGAATCCTTCGAATCACAATCTAAAAATTCATGGAAGATTCAAAACTTCGGAAGAGTTAACATTATTGATTCCCTAAAAAACGAATGCGATTATTGCAATTTGTCTGGTATTTGAATCACTAAAGTCATTCTCTGACAGCTGTGTGTGCCACACTGCTTCAGCATGGCATTCAATGAAATCCTCCAGAATTCTCACTTCAGAAATCTATGCGTTGCTCTTTAGCCAAACCAATTATTGATTCG